ATGCAAAACTTTAGTGACAGTTTAAAAAAACAAAAAAACCTAACCGGCTTTGACATTCGGAGTCCGATGGGCCGCTAGCGTCCGGGTGCAGGCGGGTGGTTCGCACACTTCTGCGCGAATCTGGCCCGCGCGGCTGCGGGCCTCCCCACGTGCCTTTCCCTCTGTTTCCACCCTCTCCTCCCCGTTCCCGGTTGCTCCTGACTTTAACGCACACGCGCCGCAGGGATCCGGTGCGTGGCCACTTTCCCGTCTGACTCGCTGTTTCCCGCCTCTGCACGGCTCCGGGAAGGGCGCGAGCGTTCCCTCCACGGCGAGGAGCCCTTGGCTGGGTCAGGTTGGGAGGCTTTGGAGCGCCGCCCCCTCCCCTCCTCGCCCTGGAGCCGCTCACACCTCGGGACTGCGCCCAGCCCGGGGGACTTCCCGGCCCAGGGGCTGAGAGCGTGCAGTTGGGGGAACCTGGCTGACATCGCCCCATCTCCGGCTGTCACCTGCTCGCTGTTCCGGGCGGGGGTGGCTGTGATCTCTGATTTGATGGGCTGTGATGTCCTTTACGGATGCACACCTCGGCCCGGACCGGCCACCGCAAGGAAAACGAACTTTAATGGTTCACTGGGCCCCTTCCACAGGGCTAATTATCGACTGTGCCTCGGGACAACCCTGAGTAGTGGAGATTGGGATCCCCAAATTTCCGATGAGCAAACAGGCTCAGGGAGGTGCGGTCACCAGGATGAAGTCACACAGCTCCGAAGCAGCAGCGCTGGCTTTGGAACCCGTGCTGAAGCTAGTGCCTTCAGGGACCTGGGAGGATATTTCTGACAGAGAAAATGCAAAGAACAGAGGATACCCCCGACTGTGGAATGACTCAGCTGGAAGGAGAGGAGCTAGAGAAGCCTTGGATAAACTGGGGGTGGGGGGAATCCGTGGATGGAAGAGTACCTACCTCAAGGGAGACTGAGAGTGGAGTGAGAGATGAAGGGGTAAAGTAAAATGAGGGCCTGAGTGCCCTGAACCCGGGAATGCGGGTCAGAAGCCAATCTTCTGCACCTAAGATCTCTCAAAGAAAAAATATGG